ACTTGCACTCACATATACACACCCACACACAGACACACATGCATAATAAAATAATAAATAAAAATTCACATTCATAAATGAAAAAAATCTTTTTTAAAAAAGTGTTACCATTGTCACGGAAGCTGAGTCCTGATGGGTTTGGAGCCACCTGCTCTGATGCTGGACAGAATATGATGGGCTGTATGTCTCTGAGGAACCCCAGGCAGGTGGAATTAATTGATCTCAAGCTTTAGAAGTTTGAAATAGCACCAGATTTAGATGTACAAAGGATTAAGTCAATTTCTAAATGGAGCAAGGTATGGACTAAATTGTTTTCAAGTCTGTGTTTGTTTAAAACATGTTGAAAGCATGGGGGACTGAAGAGATGGCTCCAAGGTTAAGAGCACTGACTGCTCTTGCAAAGGACCCAGGTTCAAGTCTCAGCACTGTCATGGCAGCTAACAATTGTCCATCACTCCAGTTCCAGGAGATCCAATGCCCTCTTTTTGACCTCCATGAGTGAACTTAACACACATGCGGTCAATACACTCATACACATAAAATAAACTTTAAAAAATGTTGAAAGCATTTACATTAATTTCAGGATTTTAGCATCAAAGAACTGGCAGGCAGTTTTACACAGGCAATGATCACTAACTTTTTAGCACCAACTCAAACATAGAACTGAGAATATTCTACTTGACTCCTTCCTTGAAGGCAATCACAGTGCCAGCCTGTGCCATGTAGAAACTTTAAATATAGTATGCTGATCACGGAAGAATAGGCAAAGTATTGCACACCTAATAGTATAATAACCAGAAGCCGAACATTCCTGCTGTCTTCAAAACCCTTTGGCTTGGGGCTGGAGGGTTGACTAAGTAGTTAAGAGCACTTCCTGGTCTTCTAGAGGACCAAAGTTTGGTTCTTGGTACCCAAGTCAGATGGCTCACATCCAACTGTAACACCAGCTCCAGAGGATCCAACACCCTCTTCTGGACTCTGTGGGCAGTGCACTGATTTGCACATACCCTCATGAGCACATATTTAAAAAATAAAAATAAAATCTTGGGCTGCAGACATGACTCAGCAATTAAGAACACTGGCTGCTCTTGTAGAGGACCCAGGTTTAGTTCCCAGCACCCACATGGTGGCTAACAACCATCCATTACTCCAGTTCCAAGGGCTCTGACTCCCTCTTCTGTCCTCCACAGACATTGCTTACACATGTGGTGCACTTGTATACATGCAGGCAAAGCATACACATAAAATTAAAATAAAATAAATTTCAAAAGTAAATAGTAAAACCTTAAAAAGCAAATCCTTTGGCCACGTGGGGGAATCTTGGCCTCTCCATCAGCCTTCTGTTTCTTCAGTCTCCGTTGCTTTATCTTTCATTTGTCTGTGTTATTTTCCGCATCTTTCTCTTCGACTTCAAAGGAAATAACGTCAATGCGAAACTAGTAAATAAACAGGCTTTTCTTGGTTCGCAGAAAGCAATTTAGTTCTTTTATCTGAGATAAAATGTCTAGCTCTCATCTCTTCTAATAGCTCATCATCATCTTTGCATAAAATAGCTCTGTTTTGAAAAAGACTACATGTTTCATTTGCTTAGAAAACGCACGGACGAATCACAGACTCTGTTTGCCTTTGCTTTCACAAATAATAAGATTATAGTCTGTGGGACCATCTGAGCCCTAAGCCCTTTTGTGAATGTGCATGAAGCACACACTTTGGGACACCATTATAGTGATGAACACGAAGCAGGTGAATCCACACACTTTGTCTTCTCACGCACTCTCCAGGGAATCACTTTTAGTCTGGTTTTCATTCTTGTCATCACCACCTTGGTATTGTAACATGGAATATTCTGTTTTCTGAGAAAAAAAAACTTGAACATTTTTCATTGATACTGACTTATTACATAAAGTTGGGTTTATACGCTGACAAATATTGAACACGTACTATGCACTTTTCTTAGGAAGCAAAATGAATGGATATTCTATAGTGGGGAAGCCAGGGAGCACATGGGTAAAATATATGTAGGAACCGAAACAAGTATAGTGTTCTGGCATTTCAGTGCCTCTCTTTAGCTCTTCCTCTGTGTCACTGTAGATGGAGTACCTGGCTAAGGAAGGTTCAAAGCTGTTTTTGCCTGATGTATTCAACATCAGTAAATGACCTTTCTTGTTTAGTGACTGAGTTTTTCAACTTTCTGCGATCAAATATTTTAAGTTTTTTTAAGTTTAAAGTTTCAAAATTTATTATTACTGTGTATGTGCATGCATGTGAGTGCATCTGTGTCACAGAATACATGTGGAGGTCAGAGGACAATTTTGTGGTATCAGTTCTCTCCTTCTATCTTTAGGTGAGTTCTGGGGACTGAACTCAGGTCCTTAGGCTTAAATGGCAAGCACCTTTGCCCAATGAGCCATCTTGCGGTCTTAACTTTAAGATGTTTTAAAAATGACTTTTCCAAGTTTAATAATAATTCAGTAATTAGGACTCCCTAGAACTGTTCTTTTATACTGAATTAAAACTTTTTTCTTGCAAAACTCGTTGCTTTAAGAAATATAACTCTTAAGCCATAACATAAATCTACTCCAAAGATTAAACGAAAGCTATCTGAAAAGTATACCTAAAAGTCAAGCCAAGTCCTTGCTCTGAGTTGCTCAGTTTTGTGACAATTTTATGGCTGAGCAGATGGTGCTAAAGCTAAGAATAATGTATACAGACACTTCTTATCTGATCGGGAATTTATTAAATTGCTTCAGGAAGTGCTTTTGTTACTACCAATCCCACTGCCCCACACACTTTACGTACTGTATAAATTGTTTTTGCATGATCTTAAAAGAAAGAAGAAAAAGAAAATTTATCAAATCATCTTTCATGTTTCTTTTTAGCCACTTTTCCAGTGACACTGAAAATCTCATGAAGTCAGCCAGCCTCAGTCTTCATTTGACCCACTCTACACTCAACATACACCTTAAGAACTATTGAGGAGGGCCTGGAGAGATGGCTCAGTGGTTAAGAGCACTGACTGCTCTTGCAGAGGACCTGGGTTCGATTCCCAGCACCCACATGGTGGCTACAAACTGTCCTTAACTCCAGTTCCAGGGTAATCCGAAGCTCTCTTCTGACCTCTGCTGCATTGCACGACACGGGTGCACTCACATACATGCAGGCAATACATTCATACATATATTAAAAAGAACTATTAAGCAGGCAATATGTCTGCTTCTACATAATTAAATTAATTCAATTCAGTTCATTATTTCATTCAACAAGTATTTATTAAGCACCTACAATATGCCAGGCACTGTGCTGGGTGCTGGGAATACAACTGTGAACAAGATAGACACAGTCCCTGCCCTCAAGGAGCTTACAGTCTAGTAGTTTTACAGACAAATACACAGGCAATTACAGTGCGGTATGGTGAGTGCCGTGATGGGTAAGAAACATTAAGGATGGCACCTAACTCTTTTTCATAGGTGGGGGGTGGTGGGTAGTCATGGAAATAGTCCCAGGATAATTAAAATTCAATTTGAGTGGTGAAGGATGGGTGGAAGTCAGCCAGGTAGAGACAGAGAAGAGTTTTACAGACTGAAGAAAGGGTGGATGCAGTGTTCCATGTGTTGCTGTGGAGGTTCATTTGCTGGTTGAGAGGTTGGGTAGGAGTGACAGAATTTTTGAAGAGACCAGCAAGGGGCCAGGTCTGGAGGGAATCGTTTGCTCAAGAACTTGGAATTGCTTTTGCCCGAGGGACAGTGCATACATGTGTTCTAAGGATTACACTTTCAGTGAAGCAGAGATTGAATGGGGATTGTAAGCACTGAGGGCAGGAAATCAGTCCTCTGCCTCCTCCAGCTTAGCTACCAGGGCTTAATACCCTGTGCTCTCAACAGGTCACCCTGATGCACACATCTGTCACACAAGTCAATGACAAATGGTGTGGCTTTGTGAGCTGCTCACCCACAGCCTCTTACACCTTCTCTTCCTGTGAAAACTCAACTTATCCTTCAAGCCCACACTTTGGGTATCATCCTAACTTGTGCTTTCAGCCAAGATCCCTAAACCATGATTTTTATAATCTGCATTGTAATACTCATTCATCATTCCAAATGATCCAGACCTTTCGAATCATAACAAAGTGTATTTTTTAAAATAAAAATGGGTTTTCTTTTCTTCAAAACTTGCAGATATAAACAAGGACTGGTCTTTTAGCTATGGTCTACTCCAAACTATTAGTGTCTTCAAAGGATTTAAATGGAAAAATAGGAATGAGAGGAAAATCCCAAGAGACAATTTTACACAGCAAAACACAGTCAAGTAAAATTTCCACACGTGGTTACAGGGTATGTTGCTGTTAGGACAGACTCAAAGACTCCATCTTTGACAATTAATTTGTTAACAAATGAGCCAAAGATCTGTAAAAGAGGGAATGCTTAATCTGTGGAAATAGCAAGGCCTAGCCACATTGTTTAGCATGGCCTGTCTCTTGACTTCTACACTCCTGTGTAGAGTCTTACAGTTTCTCAAACCAAAGTGAGAATCATAGGAAAAAACTTTTAAGCTTTGTAGATACAGTAAGAACAGCTGTTTTATTCTTTTTGGTGGGTACAAAAACCACACTTTTGTACACGGAACAAGATTATAAATAATATCGAGAACATGAGTGACCCGTAGTCTTTTGGGAGTCTACATTGCTGATGGATGGTTTCATATCAACATTTTCTTCACTTAGTTTCATTTTTGTTCCTGATAGACAATCTGTGAACCAACTTGTGTAACAGAGTGAAGGTTACAGGAAACAAGATGATCAACTTTTATATAAAAAAGTCTCTAACGTTTATTACAGTGATGACATTTGTTTTAATCAATTATTGCAATGTATCGTTCCCTAAGATGGTTAGAAAAAAGAATTGTGTTTCCTCTACTGGATTTACATCAGTTAAAAAGCAAGCATGTATCAGTATTGGTTTTCTCCAAAGTAAGTGTAAATACTTCCTTTAAATTTTGTTTTGTTTTTTTTTTCACAGGATTTACATGTTTATTATTTTCTTATCACATTTTAGTGACGGGTTGTGTCGGCCGCAGAGTCTTCCCACTACATGGGTGTGCTGGAGACACAGGTTAGCAGGTTCGTTGACCTCTATTAACTATTTAATTCCTTTCTGTGGTGACGAAGAGCGTTCTGAGCAAGAACTTCATAGTTTAATGCGCAAAGTCTGATTAGTTTTTAAGTCCACTCAAGTGAAATTTGTTGCTGTTAATACACCCATCCCAGCTGCCCCCCCACTCCCCCCCCCAAAAAAAACGCCCCATAAATTGTGAGTTTTCCTGATACAAAATCCGAGTCTGCTTTTCTGAGCTGGTCTCATGCACAGGTTGCTGTCCGGCGGCTTTCCACTTTCAAAGGATTGGTTTAGCCAAGACCCTGCTGGGCCCATCCATCCCTCAGGGCTGCGTTTCCATCAGTCACCAACACAGTTTAATTAAGGCACTCAATTATTTTTTTGGTTTTTATGGTAGGTCCGATGCAATGACAGCCAACCCCGAACTTCGTCTAATTGCAGTTCCTGTGTGTACCGCCTTGGGGCAGTCCGGCGTGAGCACGCGGCCGTTTTCTCCCACACTCCCGGTGATGGATAACCTGGCTTTGTTTCTTATGGCTTCGGAAAATGTCAGCTGGGTTGCATGGAAAGGAAACAGAGAGGGTGCGGAGTGTTACGATATTTCTGTTTCTTCAACAAAACAAGACACACCAAACACCAAAATGTCGATAATTAGACATCTGCATTTTTTTCCCATATACATTTTTGGTAATAGGCAAATTAGAAAAATTAATCAGCCTAGAGTTTTAGGTCCTATGTTTCAAAGCTTTAAGATCATAAAATCAAGGATTTTTTTAACAAATCTGGGTAGGGGACATCTTTTAGCTGGTCTCTATACCCTAGCACTTTCAATAGCACTTAAAAGCTCCTTTGGGGTAGACATTCTTTAAATCATGGTATCTTCTTGTTAGAGAATGTCTTCTTTATAGGGAAGGATTCAACCCTTAAATTATGACAAATTGCCTGAACCAGCTTATATATAAACTTGCTGTTGTCCTCACACAGGTCTATTCACAAGCACTTTCATTCATTCACACGAGTTACAGACACGACTCAGAACAGCACAGTTAGTGACAGAGTTGACTGCATGCCTAGTGTAAAAAAGTAAGGCTCACATGAAGAATTATGCTTTATGAATGGAAAAGGTGTGTGGAAAGGGAGGAATGTTTGAAAATGTACTGAACAGGATGGTCACTGTGGCTCCTCTCATGCTGAGGGGATGATGGTCAGGTCTCTGAACTCATTAAATTCCTGTCTCCTGACTTCTCAGGTGGCAGAAAACAATATTACATAGAGGGAAATCAGGAACTTCCATCATGTAAACCTAATTACTGTTCATTTACTGCCTGAAAATTCCTTCTAGTAAAGAAATTCTAATGCTAACTCAAGAGGAAAACAAAGGAAATGTTTTTGAAGTTTTGTTACAACTTAGATCTCAACTTTCCTACAACTCCTAATGTGTTTAATTCTTAACTGTGATTTTAAGTTTATATAATTCTTTAGGAAATTGATCTGCTTTAGAATTTTAATGTTTTGCTAATTTTATGTTAAAGTAATAAAACTTGTTATTGTATTACTAGCTGTCAGAGCAAAAATGCATAGACATCAGTTACCCTGAAACATCAAAAAGTTGAAGTCAAATTGCGATTGCTATCATAGTGATGATTAAAAAAACAAAGGTGAATATGACAGCTCTGTTTTAATAAGCAGTCTCAAAAATCAATGCATATTTTTATAATGAGGACTCAGGTTATGGCCTTTTAGAAACATTGATAGCTTTTATGTTTAGAAAAAAATTGTCATATAATGAGGATTTTAGGGGAAACGACACTCATGCTTGGCTATCTCCCATTAGCCCCTTGAAATAAAAATCTCCTTTAAAATTAATGTGTGTGTATGTGTGTGTGTGTGTGTGTGTGTGTGTGTGTGTGTGTGCATGCATGTGAACATCAAGGGACAATTTGCAAGAGTATATTCTCTTTTTCCACCATGTGGGTCTTGGGGATTGAACTCAGGTTGTCAGGCTTGGTGACAAGTGCTTTTACATGCTGAGCCATCTTGCTGGCCCCAAACTTCTGAGGTTTGGGGGCATTGAATAGGCACTCAGTGCATATGTGTTCAGTGGATAAATATCTGGATATGGAATGATGTGTTTTCCCTCATCGTAAAGAGAACTGTTAGGATAAAATTCCACTAAATTCTATCCTGTTAAGTGAAACTACACATAGAAGAGAGCATTTTGTTGAATATAAACTGCAGGTTAAAAAATAAGCATATTGCGCACTGTTTTAAATTGAACAGAAGCCGAGTCTCAGTATCCCAGTGAAGAAGCTGGCAATGGAGCAAGTCAGTTCAGTGTGGACATGTGACAGGATCTTCATCAAAGCCCTCACTCACATGGCAGAGTCTCACCAACGAACTCAGAAGGGGACTGGGCTTGCTTTGACAAATGAGACTCTTGCGAGGTCATTAGAGTGTGTCTGCTTTGATATGGATATAAACAAAAAGCCAGCAAAAACAGTATCGCTTGCATCAGGAAAACATGACAAAAATGTTTCATTTAAGAACTACAAGCCAGGATTTGGGATCGGACTTGCTGGATAACATACGTAATCATTATTTTCATTGTTATGTGTTTTCTCTCTTTTTCTTTTCAGGTTTATTTATTTTATATGTATGAATGTTTTGCCTGCATGCATGTCTATGTACCACATGCATCCCTGGTGTCCAAGGAACACAGAAGAGGGTATCAGATCCCTTGGAACTGGAGTCACAGCTGGTTGTGAGCTGCCATGTAGTTGCTGGGAACTGAATCTGGGTCCTCTGTAAGAGTAGCAAGTGCTCTTAACCACTGAGCCCTCTCTCCAGCCTTGTTATGTGTTTTCAATGAATGGTTCCGGATAAAACCTGTTCGTAGGTATCAAGCTGTATGGAACTTGCTAGCTTGAACACTGGTATTTTACCATGAACTTCCAGAGAATAATTTTGGGGCAATTTAGCTTAAAGTAATAAGAAAAAAGAAATACTTATGAGTCTAAGCCAAGCCAACATTTAACCAGACTTTTACTTTATGTGTGTGCATGCATGCCTGCATGTGTGTGTGTGTGTGTGTGTGTGTGTGTGTGTGTGTGTCAGTGTCTGTGTCTGTGTCTGTGTTCCTTGTCTGTGGAGGCCAGAAGAGGGCACTGGATCCCATGGAGATGAAGTTACAAGTGGTAGTTGTGAGCTGCCATATATGGGTGCTGGGTTTATGTGTATAAGTGTATTTCCAGAATGCATGTAAGTGCATCTGTGTTGGGCAGTGCCCATGGAGGTCAGAAGAGGGCACTGGATCTCACCATGTGGGTGCTGGGAACTGAGCCTGGGTTCTCTGCAAGCATAGCCAGTGCTCTTAACTGCCAAGCCCCTCCCCTAGTCATACTTTTAAGCACATCTATGTAGTAAAGGTTTCAGATTTTCTTTTGGTGATTCTGGGCATTATCTAATTTAATGATAATTATAGTCAATAGACTTCCCCCTTTCTTTTGAGACAGAATGTCTCTTTATAGTCTCAGTTGGCCTGGAGTTCATGATGTAGCCTAAGCTGGCCTCAAATTTACAGCAATCCTCTGTCTCAGCCTTTCAATGCTGGGATTTTGAACATGTGTGACCACTTCAGGCTCAACAGAGTTTTTGGATTTATTAACCTTTTTATATTTTTTTATGTGTATAAGTGTCTTGCTTGCCTGCTTGGACATGTGTGCAAACCCACAGAGGCCAGAAGAGGGCACTGGATCTCCCTGGAACTGCAGTTATTATCAGTTGTTAGCTGTCATGTGGGTGCTGGGAATGGAGGGTCCTTTGGAACAGCAGCCAAACCTAACTACTTGGCCATTTCTTCAAGTCAATAGAGTTTTGAAAGGAAAAAAAGAAAAATCAATATGACAGTAAAATAAAAACTGTTTACTTGCAAATCTTCTCTATGGTACAGATTATTTTACTTACTCTGAATGCCACTGTTTTTAAATAAAAGTTAGGTGGATACAAATGCTTTGCTTTCATTTAAATGTATTGTTTTAAAAGTTCAAATTTATCCTTAAAGGTGATTTATATGGGAGGTTTTGCCTTCAAAAACATTATGATATGTGAGTTCTATGCACCTAACCTGGGAATTGTATATATATAAATATATATGTGTATATATATAAAACAATTTCCAAGACTTTTCTATCACATGGAATTCATTAGCATTTCTTTGTAAAATTGGAGCATGATTCTTTCTTTCCTTTGCATCTCCATTCTTGGATTGAGCTATTGGCTGGAATGAACAAGAAAGTTAGTTTTAGTGAACTAGTACCAAAACGAATATTTAAAATCTATTCTAAGATTCACATCAGAATGGATTATAAATAATGCTATGAAACAGGTCAGATATTATTTTCCTCTGTTTGGAAAAGCTCTCTTCAACTCTGAAGACATTAAGGTGAAGACACTTCCTCATTGTCAAAATACCTTGACATTGTCTTAGTTTGAAGAATTCCAGGAACTTTCTCCTAAACCTCCAACTATGTTAGAAGATGTGCTTGTCATGTTTTTATCTGAGTGAACTGAGGATTTAGTTTTTAATGGTTTTCACAAAGCTGGAAAAGAACCATTTGGAATTGCTATTATGCACTGTACTCAGTCATAGTTTCTAGATGGTGGGGAAAGGCAGTTAGATATTGATTGCCAGGGGTGACTTTGTTCTTTTCAGAAGCTTGTGAATACTTCAACAGATTCTATACCAATAAATATCAAAATCAAGCACATTTATCTGGAATAACTGCAGACCTACATATTAAAATTACATGTGTTGTTTTAGGTGCATTAAGCACTGGCTATCTCTTGAAGATTCAAAACTCATGTATCATGTAATCAGAATGAACAGCCTATTTGCTAGACTATTATATATAATTTTAGAAAGTGATGTTTTTAGAGCTCTGATTTTTAGAAGAGCAATACTAAATCCATTCAGGCTTTATTTTAAAACCACTTTCAGTTATTAAAGGAAAGAAGAAGTGAACATTTAGATGCTGAAAAATATAACCTACATCAGTATCTCCCTGAATGCATACAGTTTTTACTGTGGCATGAGGAGAGGATGTATGCCGGGCTGATGAGGCTTGTTTAAAAGCAACTGAAATGGAAAAATGGAAAAAAGTGCATAACAACTCACTGCCACACTTCATTTCTCTGCATCCTTCCTATATAACACATAGACTACCAGGGTCTTTGGTGGAGAAAGTGCCGAATTGTCTAAAATGCCTATCCACCTCGGTGATAATTGAACATAAAAGTTGAATCTCATTAATAAATGTGTATTGTAGTTAAAATTCTAGCAATCATCCCTGTCTGCCAGACTGTCTCAGGGACACTCTTAAATGAACTAACAGCAGAGATTTGTGGTTTAGAAATATAGAAAGATAGCCAAAGGAATTGGATTAGGAGCTAAAATCAATCGTGTCTCTACTATATGTTGGAGCTTTTATATGTATTATTTCTTTAGAAAAAAATATAACATCAAAAACAGGCAACTCTCTAGGTTTTTGATAATTTAAAACATGTTTTGTTCTTATTTGTTTAAAATTTATCCTAAACGTAGGTCGTTACAGAAATTTGCCTGGTCTGTGTATAGGAAATTCCAGATCTAATTTCCAATTTTCCCTAAATTTCAGGGAAATCATGCTGTTTAAATAATTTTGTGGAACAATTCTAACTTGTTTTTGTCTGACTCTTGCAATGCAGATATCTATTGGCAACATAAAGTTTCAAACAGAACTTCTGCAGCCAAAGAAAACGGGACCACAGTGCACGCACCAAAGATTTCAAAAATAGAAAGCTCTAATTAGAAGCAAGCAATATCACCACTGGACAGACAGGTCACAACACTGAGTTCACAGGATGCATTCCCCCACTCGCTGGCGTAGGCCCTAAGTCCTACCCCTAAATTTTAATACTTTCGGTTCCATATACGTTGTAACCTTCTCTATAGGTTGCTAAATTGTGGGTATTCTGCGAGGAAGTTGGGTTAAAAGTCTGTGCACTCTTTGACACCTTCATTCTCTTCGCCTCTGCCCTGGACTTGTAGCAGAACTCTATCAAAGCCACTAGCATTGCCAAGCCCAAGCCGCCAACCAGAATGTAGAAGACGCCTGCGACGTTGCTTAGGCTCAAGGCACTCGTCTTGTCCTAGGGAGGATAAAGACACTTCGGTTAACTGTGGGAATGTCACACCCAAAGGTCAAAGAACACATGAGACCCAAATAGCCAATTAAAGTAAATGCTTAATTTAGCTAGGAATTATTTACAAGTATAAGTCATGGATACAGGTTTATGAATTTAAACATAAAGCTCTTGGGAGAGGAGAAATTATGATTACCGATAAATTACATGTAATTAAATTCTATATAATCTAAACATTTTGTCATTACTAAATAAAAAATGAAAACCACTATCTATACATAACCATAAATAAACATTCATATATTCACATAGGGAGGCAGAAGTGGGCTTATTCTAGAATTTGAAAATGATACGTTTAAAATATAGTTATATGGGAAGGGGGATATTTGGGCTTTACATCCTTTAAAATACAATTCTAGTATTTAAGATTTCTCTTGAATAAACAGAACTCCATATTTCCTACTTTTGGAATTAGTGGTCTTTAAGTTACAAATGTCACATTTTAGTCAATATTAATTTAGCAAGAATATTCAAATAATATATTAGGATACACATCTTTTGCTTTTTTAGTTGTGTCTATAGGGCAAATCTCATGGAGGTTAATTTTGCATATGGTATATACTACTTAGCAACAACCATAAATGCATAATTTTAGGTAATTTTAAATTTTATTTAATTGAGATAGGGTCTCATATAGCTTGGGCTGGCTCACTAGGGAGCTGAGGCTGGCCTTGACTCCTGATCCTCCTCCTGTAATCCCCTCAAGGATTACAGCTACATATCACCACTCTTGGTTACTTAGATGCCCTTTTGAAGTTCATTTTTTAAAAAATTCACAAATTGCGTGCTGGATTGAGAAACTATTATGTGGACAGATTTATAATTATTTTTACTAATTGAAAAGTAAAATTCCATTCCCATTTAAAATGCCTAATCAGTTAAGATTTTAGTCATACCGTAGTTCAGAACTGTACTACACATATTACCTTATTATAATTCTGGAACTAGTCTAGCAGATCATTAGAAG